CGCTCTCCATCCATCTCGGGTGGGGCCGTAATCCCGCTCTCCATCCATCTCGGGTGGGGCCGTAATCCTGCTCTCCATCCATCTCGGGTGGGGCTGTAATCCCACGCTCCTTCCGTCTCGGGTGGGGGGGTTACCTTGCTCCATCCATTTCAGGTGGGTCCATTAGCCCTCGCTTGATTCATTAAGACCTGGCCTGCAGGTCACAGGAATAGCTTGTTCTGACAGTGATCGGAATGTTAAATACACACTGATTGCTCGCAGTATATCATTAATAAAGCACTGCTGCTGTGACATCAGTAGCTTGTCGTCCTACTTATGGTATATTCTATGCACATTGTATATTACTTATATTTTGTATGTATATTGTATGTTATTGTTCACTGTTCTCTTGTTTGTTATTCTTCATTGTTATGTGTTGTCTTAGTCTGGTGGCAGCAAGCTCTGCAGGTTTTCAGACGACCTGTTGTATTGGTGGCTTGTAAATTCACTCAGAACATCAGTCCACAGTGGACACTGATTGGCTAGTGCTCCCCTTTGATGTGACACACTCTTGCTTCATTCACTTCTTCCCATTAGAGGTTTTGCTATTTGATTGGTCAGTAAGGAGATGGGCGTTCCCTGTGGGGGTGTATATGGCCAGTGAGGATGCTCACCCTGGGACTGTGTACACGTGTCCCTCCTGCCAGAGTAGGGAGAAAGTGACAGAGTTCTCATTCCATAACTCAGACTTTGGCAGAGAGAAATAACTGACTTACTGTCCTGTTCAAAAACACAAAGCATGAAATATCTGGGCTGTTGTAGGACATGCATCAGGGAGAAACATTAGATTGCATTCTACACTCTGCTTGATTGGGAGACACCATGCAGTGTATAAAGTTATATATAACCTTATTTGTAATTACATCCAGTCCCCTGCCTTTTTACCCCGTTTTCCCTGGGATAAGATTCACTGTGACCCTATACTAAACAGATGGTTACGCGAGATGGATGGATGATCTCTTCATCATACTGAACAGGCAGAAACAGTTAGGAGGCACGTGCACATGATGGTTATTCTGGGTTATTCTGTTTTCAAGTAAACGCAACTGCTGGCGGATCTGAAACTTGGAATCACCGTGTTTCATCTGGTTCGCCCTCCTGCGCAGTAGGTGGCGCTACACCCATTTAAGTTGGTCCAGAGGAGCCAGCATTTCCCCCGACGAAATAGAAAACATGGCGTCCTAGAAGTCACGTTTGAAGGAGACCGGTTCTTCCATGGTGGATATTGCAATATTATATCAAATTTTAGTTTATAATGCAGTCACGGATTTCTTAAGTGTCTAAAGTAATGGCTTGGTAAAATTGTTTTAATACCGACACATATAATGTTTTACTGTTAGACTAGCCGGTTTATGGAACCCGATATGTGATATTATGTTTAGCATCCACGGTTATTATCGTGTTTGTAGAATTGCATAGATGTAAGCCGTAAGGCTTATGTAGCTTGTACGAAAACTCGTCACTTTTCGAAGGGTCTGGAAACTGCATGTCAAAGTTGCAGTTACGGATTGTAGTGCCATGAATTGTGCACGCCGTCTCGCGCGGATAACCATTAGGGGATTTGCACCTTATGCAACGGTAACTGCCCGGGAGTCAGCAAAATGCCTTAATCCTTACGGGAGTGGCGTTCAGGTGAGCAGCTCCCTGTGTGTTTACTTTTCCTTCTTTTCAAAAATCACTTAAGTACCATCACATGTTCAACAACAGGGTATTTTCTGATACTTTCTTCATTGTTAACCGCTGTGGTCGCAGGGCTTTGATTTTTTTTTTCTTTTTTCCTTTCCCTGTCTGTTCACGTCATTTCCTGGGGCAATCGCTCTAAATGCGAGCCATTCTATGCCTTTATGACGTTTTATTAAAAATGGCAACCGGTAAGGAGGCACAGGCGTGAATTTGACCAACTTTTTCTTCTTTGACTTTGTTCCTTCAGACGTTAAGGGCTTTCCACGCGGGCTTCGGGCATCTTAAGGACCAGTCCGTTTCCAGGGGCGATGGGCATCCCAGGCATGAGGGGTCCCTGGTTACCCATGACAGCCTGTTTGAGCAGGCAGCTGTGGAGGCCCGGACCAAGGCCATGTTTAACCGGGTGCTGGAGGTCTTCGTTAGGAAGGACATTCGGCGCCGGGGCCACGTCGAGTTCATTTACGCGGCCCTGAGGAAGATGCCTGAGTTTGGGGTGGAGCGCGACATCACCGTCTACAACAAGCTCTTGGACGTCTTCCCCAAGGAGGTCTTCGTGCCCCGAAACTTCATCCAGCGCATGTTTAACCATTACCCCCGGCAACAGGAGTGTGCGGTGCAGCTGCTGGAACAGATGGAGAACTACGGTGTGTCTCCATGGCGATGTAGCACCTGGCGATCGCATCACTGTTACAGTGTAGCGAGGCCATAGTTACTGTAATTCTACATGGACACGTGTTACGCTTCCTGTTCTGGGGGCACGGTGGCGCAGTGGTTAGCGCTATTGCCTGTTGCGTAGTGGTTAGCGCTGTTGAAATGACGTCTGGGACCACGGTTCAAGTCCCCGCCATGGCTCTGTGTGTGCGCATGTTCTCCCCACGTCATTGTGGGGTTTCCTCTGGGTACTGCGGCTTCCCCACACTGTCTAAAAACAAGGTTAATTGGAGTTGCCAAATGGCACATATATATAAATGTGTGTGTGTGTCTCCTGTGATGGGTTGGCGCCCCCTTCTGTATTATTTCCTGCCTTGCGCCCCTAGCTGCCAGGATTAGCCATGGACTCCCCGCAACCCTGAATAGGACACGCAAGTATAGATAATGGTGGGATAGATTTTGGATATATTTGCACTATTAATTAGAATTTTACAATTTGGGCAGTGGTGGCTTAATGGTTGGGGAAGCACACTTGTAATTGAAAGATTGTTGGTCCGAATCCCCGACCAGCAAGGTACCACTGAGGTACCCTGAGCGAGGTACCGCCCCCAAGCACTGCTCCCCGGGCGCTGAATTAGCTGCCCCCTGCTATGTCACATGGTCACATATGGGTTAAATGCAGAGGACACATTTCGCTGTTATGCACTGTGTGCTGTGATGTGTCAACAATGACTACTGATCTCTAAATTGTAATTCTTAATAATAGTTATTATTATTGGTGTGATGTGTGGCTCTGGTCTTTAGACCCTGCCTGCAGGCTAGAGGTCTGTGATCAGAAGGTTGCTGGTTCAGACTCCCTGTCTGGCCCCACACCTGGCCTTTAGACCCTGCCTGCTTCCGGCCTGGCCGACCCTCCAGATGTACCTGCCTTTTGGATAAAAGTGTTTGCTTTATAAACCAAATATTCTGGCTCATTTTGGCGAAACACTGAAACGTGCCCCATGTTCTCACCTCTGCCCTAAGGGATCTTGCCCAACGTGGAGACCAAAGTTCTCTTGGTGCAGATCTTTGGAGAGAAGAGCCACCCCATGCGGAAATACCAGCGGCTGATGTACTGGTTTCCCAAATTCAAGCACACGAACCCGTACCCTGTCCCCCAGGATCTCCCACAGGACCCGCTGGACTTGGCGCGCCTCAGTCTCACCCGCGTAGCGGCGGACCCAGATGCGTGTGTCACCGTCTATCAGGTGTGCCACCCCCCCCCTCCCCCCCCCCCCCCCCCAAAAGGTTTACACGCGTGATATTTAGCTGGGAGAGCTCTTATATGCAATTGGTTAGCAATTAGCAGGTTTAACCCATCATTGCAGCAATTTTCCCAGAGCGATTCAGGTTAAATAGCTTAAACAGACTGGAAGTTCTGGCAAAGAGCCATTTGTATGTTGGCAGCACCTGTTTATAATACTGACAGTAACTAAATTTGGGTTCATCCTCTTATTTGGATCTGAGTTCATGCTTTGGCCTCTATGCCACCTGCTGGTCCAGCTGTTATCATTTACAAACATAAAACTGAGATCATGCTTGTGTCCAGCTAGAAGAGAGAGACCTTGGTCACGTCTCACTTTTAACCTCATCTAAACTGCAGATGTTTTCCTTAATCAGATGCCCTCTACAGATGTATCTGAGACCATAGTCGCAGACGTGTCGCTCCCCTACGTTGTCGGTAAGAAGCACCGCCCTCTCTGCCCGCTACCTGCCAGTTGATACTGACGCCATCAGTCGCTCCGATGTGATGCCGGGTGACGCGTCTTCCCCCACAGGAATTCAGAGTCCGGAGCAGAGAAGCCTGCTAGCCAAACACAATGCCAGCAGGCCGGTGTTTGTGGAAGGACCCTTCCCTCTGTGGCTGAGGAAGACCTGTGTGTACTACTATGTGCTGAGAGCTGACCCCGTGCCGCCGGAGGAAAAGGTTTGAGAACCGCTCATAAGTTAGCAGGCATAGTCCTGGATTCTTCTTGGTCTGGGGTGACATTTTTATTATATATGTGGATTTTTTGTTTATATGCTGAGTTGCCCTGTTGGTGTAGAGTGTCATTCATACTAACAGCATAAATGGCAGGAAACCAGGGTGCCCATCTCTCCATCGCAGTGCTTCCTGCCTCGTTTCTACGGTGACCCCGGCATTCACTTACGCTCCCTGTCCTTCCCGTCAGGTTCAAGAGCCCGTTGACCCGGAGAGGAGTTTCTTCTATCCGCTGGAACTCGACTTGGATTTGGAGCGAGATCTGGGCGATGACGACAGCTTTGACGTGGATGAAGGTAGCTTCGTGCTTCCAGCAAACGTGCTGTCAACATCTGGTTATATGTTAAAACGTTTTATGAACTACAGTAAAGAGAGTTGGGGTTGGCTCCTGTCTGTCACCAGCTTAAGAAACCTACAGAATTGTGGGGCGCTTTGAACTTTGTTCCTGTCCTTGCCTGATAAGGGAGTTAACTGAGTTCAGAAAACTGAAAGCTGTTTATTGTCGAGCGGTGTTACTGTGAGCAGGAGGAGCCAACCTTAGGTACACAAGGTGCAGGGGAATTTACAGCAGTCAGGTCAGACATGGGGCCGTGACCCCCACTGAGCAGGAATCCGCCGTACTGCTAAAATGCTAATCTGATTCCTAAGCAAAACACAGCAGCTCTGGTGGAGGTTTAGAATGTCTGAGGCTGATGGTCACCATACGATCTGTGCTGGTGACCTCCTATTCCTGTCAGTCACATACAAAGATGTCGTGGGGCACTTGGCTGGTGGTGATGTGACATCGCTATGACGATGATCATGTGACACGCAGCTTTGTTTTACTGCTTCACATAGTCACCACTGAGGATTCTCAGAGCTCGAATAACGAGGGTGGATTTACTCTCGGTGCTGCTTCTGCAGCCACAGCCGATTTCGAGTGGTTCTCTGACAAGCGGCCTGTCGTGCTTTTGCAGTGGAGGAGGGCCCCATCTTTGCCATGTGTATGGCCAGCCGGGGGGACCAGGCCACCCTCGCCAAGTGGATCGCCGGCCTGCAGCAGACCAACCCCGTGCTGGGCCGGGCGCCCACCCTCTTCCGGCTGGAGTCTGTCTCCCGGGAGATTCAACGGGCAGGGGAGTCTGAGCCGGGGGCGGAGCCTGGCCTGGAAGAGGAGCCTCCCCACCGCCAGGCTATGAAGCAGTGATCGCTGATGGGGGCTCTGCGGCGCCACCTACTGTCCCACTGGTTAAGATAGATCATTGCAACAGTTCTCAATTCTGTCCCTGCCCCCCCGCCCCCGCCAGAACATTTTCATTCCAACCCACACTGCTTTCAACCTGCCGCATTCAATATTAGCCTATTAAGGACCATATAAACCTTATTTAGGCAGGGATGGAATGGAAACGGTGGGGGGGGGGGGGCTAGGAACAGGATCGAGAACCACAGGATGACTGTAACCGCAGAACAGGTTGTATTTTTGAATGTGAGTGTGGAGGAGGTCTTAATGACATCCTGTCAGGCGCCGATTCGCTCGCTCCCGGCACGGACCGACCATCTGCAATAGTAGTTCAATCTACATTATTTATGGAATTTTCTTTAAGGTAGAATATCAGACTGTGTACAAGAAATAAGTATTACACAGTAACAGCAGCAAAGTAATGATGAATCGCAACAATAATAATTATATGTTCATAATTATGTATGTGATAATATACAAGTGTACCTTTTATAAAATACAGAAAAAAATGCACAACAGGAGCTGTGACAGATTGATGTTACCCTGGTAAATCACTTGGCATCTGGCTTTCGATGGCTTTAATACAGTCTTACTAAACGGTCTGTCCACATGTATTTTAGGATTTAACCTTCCAATAAATGTGCTATAAAATGTAACTCCTGCCGCCTATGAGAGCTGACAGTCAGAGATGCTCTGAATTAGCAAGGCGACGCTCCTTTTCGAGCCGGTGTAGTCTGACGGACACCGGAGCAATATCTGGGCAGCCAGTGGTGCGTGTTTGTGGTGGGAGCCAACAATTCTGTTTGGCTGCCTGGAGTGTGTAAGGCGGGTCCTCTGTGTATGCGTTGAAACATGAGGACAGCACGGCCTGAACTGAGAGACTCATGGGGTTTTATTTTTTTTTCATCTTTGGCACTAAGATGTTTAGCTGGTCCTCTTAGCTCAGGTTAAAGTTTGTGTGGGTCGCGTTCTCCACGGGATGGTCTGTTTGGTTGCAAAGGAAGGTTGGTTTTATGTTCTTGTTTTTTTTTGTGTTATTTTTGGGTACATTAGCCATGCAAGGAAATGGGGAGATTTTAATTAATGAATGTTTTTAATAAAAATCTGAGACTAAAACCTTGGCCATATGAACTGAAAGTAAAAAAGAAAGGGAGGGGGCAGAGCCTTGGATGTGCATGAAAGCTCAGCATGCAAAGACGGAGCGTACGCTGCTTGGGGCTGTCCAGAAGAAGCATTCATCTTGGGTTCTGGGCGTCCGACCCAACCAAGCAGGCTGGGTTAGCCAGGCCCAGCAAAACCACTGTGCGGGAAGTCAAAGGAGTCGCAGGAGTTTCCAATGGAGAGTTATGGGGAAAGTCGACTTTAAGCTCCCAGGCGTGCAGCTAAGCACAATGGAGTCATTCAGAATGCTCCCCGCCAGTCCGCGGTGCTTCGGAGGATCACACCCGTCCTCAGAGGTGCAGGGGGTGTCGCTACCCAAAATGTTACCCCCAAACAACAGCATGCTTGTCGTCAAAAAAAAATAATCATGCGACAGTTTCAAAAAGGCCTTGGTCATACTACAGACTGCTGTGACCAATTATATTTGGAAGGAAGCCGTCTTCGAGCTCTGTAAGGAGATCTCCATGATCAGCATGTACTCTCTTTACTGACCACGTGTAACGTTTGATCTTTAGACAGTTTGGCCGAAGCACATCTGATCAGACAAAGCCAACCCAAAAGTCCTCATTCGGCTCAGCAGGAAATCGTGAAAAGCGCAAGCCGATAACCTGTCCCTTCGCCGATCCAAACCGGCCGATAACCTGCCCCTTCGCCGATCCAAACCGGCCGATAACCTGCCCCTTCGCCGATCCAAACCGGCCGATAACCTGCCCCTTCGCCGATCCAAACCGGCCGATAACCTGCTCCTTCACCGATCCAAACTGCCGACAGCAGCGAAGCAAAGGGAGGAGGGGGAACTCACTCACCACAGATGCAGTCACAGGGCAGGAGCAAAGGAAGGGGGTAGGAAGTGGGTGCCTTATAGGTTAACATATGGCCAAGTTTAGAAAATAAGCAACAAGTGCGACAAAACGAAAACACCAGTGATTAGCGACAGCCATGACACACGCTGTCCCAGAGCCAGGGTCACCCTCCAGGTCTGTGGCGGGTTCACACTCTGTCCCAGACCCAGGGTCACCCTCCAGGTCTGTGGCGGGTTCACACTCTGTCCCAGACCCAGGGTCACCCTCCAGGTCTGTGGCGGGTTCACACTGTCCCAGACCCAAGCTTACCCATGTGAAAAAGTTGTGCCAATATCTTTGGTCGTGGCCCCAAAACGGTGGTCTTACACCTCACTGTGAGAGGTTCAGAGGTGAATGTTGTCGTGGTCTTGCAACCAAAAACAGGCTTGGACAGATTTGTGACAATGTTATCAATTCGGTATTAGTAAGAGCTATGTCTACTAACCAACTAACGCTGATGGTATATTATTCTTGTATATTGATTTCAAATTCAGTGATAAGCATTTCACTGCAGGTTGTACTATGTATGATAATGCATGTGACAGATTAAATATTGATTTGCGTTGTAGCCTATAATTTAGTAGATTATCATCAAACAATCTACAATGATGTCACACCCAAGTGTATCCGTGTTGCAGTGTGGCTTTGCGATGAACCTATACGACTGCTGGTAGGACGCATTCAATCAAATGTTCCTGTCCAAATCCTCTGAGCAGCATGGAGGGGACAGACAGGAACATGCCCACATATGAAGTCACTATGGTGGCCTTACTGGAACAAGAAGGTTCCCTTCAACCTGAGCCCTGTGTATCAACCCGGATGTTCAATCCTGTCGATACTTTTAGTACCATGTTTGCTTTTGTCTTAATAGCAGGGTGTCAAACCTGAAAAGATGCGAATGGGAATCTGATTCGTCATTTATTATGATGATATACAAAATACAAATAATTTGTTGTTAATTATAATTAAGCACGGAATGTGAAAATGCAGCCTGTGCGTGTTGGACACACCACGGTGCAATCGTGGCCCAGTGACTCACTGCCTGTGTGTCCGACACGCATGTATAGTCATGTTGCGTGTACTTGAGTGTCGCTGGTGGCTCTCGCTGTTCAGGTGCCTGTGCGATACGCCAAGGATGTAGGTTTGATTTCAGTATTGGTAGGGACCGAATCAGCCCCAAACCCCCACCCCCCTAAACACACGGTACTCCCACAGTATTGGTAGGGACCCACTCAGCCCCGAACACCCACTCCCCTAAACACACGGTACTCCCACAGTATTAGTAGGGACCGAATCAGCCCCAATCCCCCACCCCCCTAAACACACGGTACTCCCACAGTATTGGTAGGGACCGAATCAGCCCCAAACCCCCACCCCCCTAAACACACGGTACTCCCACATTATTGATACGGACCTGTCCCTTCCATGCATACCCAAATCTACGCCCTTGGGATATGTGGTGCTCTGATTGGTGCTCTGATTCCTTTTCCTACAGTGCGTTACATTGCCGCTACGGGGTTCGACCAGCGATCGTCTCGCCGATGTACCTATGTGTGTGTAACTTCCATTCGCATCCTCTCACAGAGCATTCAGCCCTATCGTTTTCCCATCCACAAGCTCCACGCCGTCCTTCACCTCTGGCAGAAGCGCCAACTCCTTTTCTGCTGGCTCCTGGGCAGATCTTCCCTTCTGCTTGACCCTGGAACACAACACAGCATTCAGGTCAACTCTGTAAATGGCGCCCTGCCCCAAGTTAAGGATACACTGGCGATTAGCTTAAATTGGAGCCTTTAGGGAAGTACTGGAAGTCCCTACTGGACCCACCACTTCTCTTCCACATCCTCAATTGTGTCTGGTAGCGGCACGTTGAGGGTTTCAGGGAGGAAGATGGCGAAGATGCCTGCCACCAGCGCCGAGCCGCCGTACACGATACTGGGTAGAGCCGGCAGGACCTCGTCCAGAATCAGCACAGCAGGTGCTGCCATTGAGCCCACACGGGCCATGGTGGAGGTGAGGCCCATCCCTGTCTGCCTGTAGGGGGCAGTATGGAGATGGGATGTCAGAGGGCATTATACTGTGGACTGGGGGATCCAGTTTGCAGCTTAGATGTAACCATTTGGGATATTATCTATCTTTATGGTCCTGACATTTAGGTTTAATGGGGGGGAGGAACCAGTGCAGGGGGTTTGAGCATCTATCTATTGCCTCGTTTCCACCAACATGGAGCTGATGCTGGTACTAGTGCCAGTGCTGGGCTGGTTCTCGCTTGGTGCCTTTTGAGAACCAGCCTGCGTTTCCACTGGTTTCAAAAATGAACGGAACAGAAATGTTACGTATGCGGAAGTGAAAGTAAAGTAAAAGTTCATCTGTATTTCATTTTTTGGATTTATTTTTCCGAATCGGAAAGTTTCAGTGTGACTCATTACGCTCTGTCTCTATTGCCTGTATTCACTTTTGTCTTCTTAAAGGCTCCCCATCTGTGTCTGTGAATGAGATTATTCTTGCTCATTGTTTTACCGCTGTCCTTTTAAGGATCGTGCAGTAATGCCAAAAACTGAACTTATCTGTCTGCCTCATGATTTCTTCGCCACTCAAACGCAAAACATTTTATTTATTTAATAGTGCTGGAGAGATTATATCTTGGTATTCCTCTGGTGGCGCTGGAGGAGGTGGCTGGTGAGAGGGAGGTCTGTTTAGACTGCTGCCCCCGGGTAGTGATACCTGACGACAGTGGGGTACAGCTCTCCGGTGAAGAGGTAAATGCAGGTAAAGGAAGCCGAGGTGAACCCCTTTCCCAGCACGGCCAAGGTGGTGCGTACGGTCTGCATTTCTGTGGTCACAATCAGACATAAACGCCACATGAGCTCCTGTTCTGTAGGCATTAAAAGTGAGTAAAATCATTCAATCATCACCAGTAAAAAAAACAACATTTATAAAGGCAGACACAGAATAGCTCTGACCTGCAGGGACGAAGATGTTGGCGAAGATAACGGCAGCAGACAGAACCAGGCAGCTAGCCTGAGTCACGCGACGACCAAAGAAGCTCAGGGTCCCAAGGGCCACCAGCTTGGCTGGGAAGTCCACGGCGCCGAAGATCACCTGGATCAGGTAGATGCTGACGCCAAACTTCTGCAGGTCCATTGCCAGCCCATAATAGGCGAAGCTGGTGGAGAACCTGTTGAGTGGAAGTCAAGGAAATGAGAAGCTTATGGAGGTGAAGGCAGAGCCACAACCTGTACTGGGAACAGGCCCACAGTGGCATCGTGCTTGGAGAAATGCTGTCAATTAACACAGATTAATGATGGTTCAGTTTTGGCAGGACTGAATATTTTGACCAATTGCTGACGTCCTTCCTACATTTTTGCATATCACACAGGCATTTATCTACCAAAAGAGTAACTGGCTAAACAGACTGAGGCACAAAGGGAAGCCTCACCAGACCACCATCAGACAGATGGATATCTGCCTCATCACTGGCGTGCGTAGCAGGTCATAAACCGTGTAGATTTTCTTGCTGGACTGGACCTCCTTGTGCATATGTGACTCCAGCATCTATAGAACACAAACAGGCCAAAATACACCTGACAGTCTGACAGTATCTGCCCACTATCCTGCACCCACCAAGTTCTCTGTCATCTATGTGTCAGATCTGTGCCTTTGCATCTATCCTTCCCAAACCTCCCTACTGACCTCTACAGTGATTTTTTGTGCCAACTCTGGTTTTCCATTAATCCTTGCCACACGATGGATATGTTTGAGGGCCTCGTCTGACCGCCGGTTCAGCATCAGCCAGCGTGCCGACTCGGAATACCACCTAAAATGAAAAACTCAACTGCCTCAGTGCTGATTATGCAGCCACGACACTTCCAACCGTTAACTGAGCGGACGAGGAGCGAAGGATCAAAGAGATCTGAGAGCAGGATGTAACATCTCACCAGCTGTAGATGAAGAAGATGAAGAAGGGGGAGCACACAGCCATCTGCAGCTTGCGCCAGTCCCGGAGGGTGTAGGCCAGGCCCGCCAGAATCATTTGACCAAAGGTGAAGAAAAAGGAGGAGATGGTTCCTACCAAGGTCCGTGACTTGGTGGGAATCCATTCCACCTCTGACCAGGGACAAGATAGAAACATACTATGTTAATCTTCAATGGTCAACAAAGCTTGCAGAGTAAGTGGTCTCATTTCATTCAAACTCAACATTGCTGAAGCACTGAACGAGCTTGGCTGACATTGATTAAGGGTTTTTGTGTATCCAGTATCTCATCTCTAATTGATTAGTGGAGTCATTCATCTGGCTTCTACTAGTCTTCACTGCGATCTGTCAGCTAAAAGCATATATATATCTTATGGTTTAATGAGGTTCCAAAAAGGAAGGTGTTTACCAGAAGGCCCTCTGAAGACTCACAGAAGCATTTCTTTTCAAGTTCTTCATTTAAACAAGGGGTCCTCGATATTGCTTGTAGTTAGTTTCATTCACCTGAACAGTGAAGAACTAGGTTCTCCATGCTAACTCAGCTGTGGATTATCCCATGCTGAGACATTTTAAGACAGCTTGAACGCCTCTGCCATCAGAGTGAACACTCAGCTCTGATGCTGACATGTTCTGGCCGAGAGGTTGAGAGGTCAGGCCAGAGAGACCCAGTTAGAGAGGTCTGGCTAGAGAGATCCAGTTAGAGAGGTCTGGCTAGAGAGATCCAGTTAGAGAAACCTGGTTAGAGAGATCAGGGCAGAGAACCAATTAGAGAGGCCAGGCTAGAGAGCCCTGGTTAGAGACACCTAGTTAGGGAGGTCCGTCTAGAAAGTTCAGGAGACCAGGAATGGACAACAATGTGACATGAATCATCTAGAAGTGCCCGAAACCCCCCAATCTCATCAAAAAGGTCCAAAAACTCCGTCCTGACTGAGCACTGGAACGTTTGAGGACAGCAGGGCAGGGATGGGGGGCGGTGGGGGAGGGGTGCCCAAACAGATAGCACAGCACAACAAGGGGGGGCTCACTTAAGGAGACAGCATTGAGAATGATTCCTGACACCGCCATGCCTGTCAGGAAGCGGAAGATGCAGTAGGCAAGGTAGGAGGGTGAGAATGCCGTGCAGGTGCCCAGGGTGGCCAACTGGAAGTAGGACCAGATCAGCAGTGCTCTGCGGCCAAACCTGCAGGACAGGACAGCAGAGGCATGGTGACAGGAAGGGACCAGCCGGGACGAAGCCACTCCCAGGCCCTCCTCTCAGTTTGGTCTGCATTGCTAAAAGGTCATCAAGCTTAACTGACCAGCGAGACACGCACAGAAAGCAGAGGGAAATATTTCCAAATGTGAGATGCACACCAGTCACGGTAAGAGATCAATTCAGTTAAGCAAGTGCTAACATATCTACAGTCATAAATGTATAAATTCCTGTATGTGTCTATTTATATACCGATGCTCCACGCCTGACAATGATTCAGCTTTATGACGGTGCGATAGCAATGCACATTCAGCAGTCAGCTTTGAATTCTGAATCTGTTGCCTGTCTAAAGATACGCCATATAATACTTTCTGTTCATGCCGGGCGATGCCAGCATCC